GGGCAAACTGTAGTCCATTGTTCCTCTCACACTGCTAAGGTAGAGCGACCTCAACAGTCTTGCATCTGCGCCCCATCTAGTACAAGCCAGCTTTTTCACCAAGCCCAGTTTTTGTGAAGCCTTGGCGCATAGTTCGTGTATGTGGTGATGAAGTCGGAATTTCTGATCCAACTTTATCCCAAGGTAAACTGGAGTCCTGTCCCATACCAAATCTTTCCCATTTATGGAGAGTTTAACATCGGCCTTAAGCACCTTCCTTCCATTGGTGAACCTAGAGTAAACCGTCTTCTCGGTGTTCACAACCATTTTCCACCGTCTCGCATAGTCTTCGATGCTATGGAGATCATTTTGCAGCCGGTTCTGCAGATGGTTGATGTCCTTGCCAGAGCTCCAGATTACTAGATCATCAGCGAACATGGCATTATCGGACACTAAGCTCTCTTGCAAGTCATAGACGTACGCCAAGAACAGAGTGCAGCTGAGGGCGGATCCCTGGGGGAGTCCGTCCTGTAGAGCAAGCCGCCTCGATAGGCTATAGCCAACCCGTGTGGCAATATACCTGTCCTTGAGAAAGTCCGTCACCCACCCGGACATGTTTCCAGTAATACCCAGTTTCTGGAATTTGTACATGAGGCCTTCGCGCCACACGCGGTCATATGCTTGCTTGAGATCAAAGAAAATTGCCAACGAATGATTTTTCTTCTGAAGTTCATTGGTCATGGACTGAACAAGACGGATCACCTGGTCCATGGGCTGCCTACCCTTACGGAATCCACCTTGCGTCGGTGGTAAGTGCTTATTACTCTCCAAGAACCAGTAGAGTCGTCCATTTACCATTCGCTCGGCCACTTTACCCACACAAGACGTTAGCGATATTGGACTAAAGCTACTTGGTAAATGGCCTGGTTTTCCCTCCTTTGGTACGGGGACCACTATGGCCTGCTTCCACACTTTCGGTAAAATACCTGTAGTCCAAGTTTGGTTAATGAGAGCCAGCAAAAGTTCTCTCCCCAGTTTACCCAGGTGGGTTAACATTTCATTGTGAACTTTGTCTGGTCCTGGTGCTTTCGCCGCCAAGCACTTTTTGAGCGCGCTTTGCAATTCTTCCATTGTGAAGGGAACTGTGAATATCTCAGGGTGGGGTCCAGTACGCTGGATACGAGCTCCCCTTTTCTTCACAGGGTGGGGTCCAGTACGCTGGATACGAGCTCCCCTTTTCTTCACAGGGTGGGGTCCAGTACGCTGGATACGAGCTCCCCTTTTCTTCACAGGGTGGGGTCCAGTACGCTGGATACGAGCTCCCCTTTTCTTCACAGGGTGGGGTCCAGTACGCTGGATACGAGCTCCCCTTTTCTTCAGACGGCGGATTTCCTTATGCTCTTGGGTCTCTTTTGACACTTTTGACTCATTGTTCACTGCGGCAAAGTGAGCATTGAGCACGTTCGCTCTTTCCTTGTCGCTCGCCACGACACCTTTGTCCGATAGTAATGGTTGCGGGTTTTTGGCCTTCCCCGCACCAGAGAGACTTCCGAGCAGATTCCACACTTTCCCACCGTCTAGAAGATCGAGTTTTTCACACGTACTTACCCACTTCGATTTTTTCGCCTTTTGAACAGCTGCCCGGACTTCAGCCGTAAGTTGATTGTAACCAGCACGAGCAGCCGGTGTTTTCTTTCTCGCGGCTTCTTTCCGAGCTTGCCTTTGCTCTTCGTTTCACGAGTTTTGCAAGCTCTTTGTTCCAAAAAGGCTTGTACGGTCGCTTCCCGGTCGTTCTCGGGATCGTCACACGGGCGACCTCTAGGAGGACGTCATTGAACTTCTCGAAAGCAACATCTAGGCCACGTCGACTGCAATTAGTCCGAGCTTGGTCTCGCACTGACTTTGGAAATTATGCCAGTTGGCTCTACGTAAGAGCTAGTGGCGTTTATCGCACTTGGTTTTGGCCTGTCCCAAGTCAACCCTAAGCAGTATGGGCAGATGGTCACTCCCAATGTCTTCAAGGACACAAAGATTCTGATGTCCCGCGAGATCAGCGGACACGAGCGTCAGATCTGGCCTGGACTCCGTTCCGTGGCCATAATGGAGAAGAGTTGGCGCACTCTTCTCGTCCTGAAGCCTGATAAGATTGGTCTCGAGACAGACTTCTTCCACATGCTTACCGGAGCCGTTTCGCTCCGGATAACCCCACATGGGGGATTTGGCATTGAAATCTCCTGCAATTATAGTCCGTTTAAAGATCGTCTCCGGAATCGTGATCACATTGCTTGGAGAATTGTAAATGTTCGTCACGGCGAACGTTTTCCCACATTTAGAGACTTTTACTGATAGAGTGTCAGTATTGTCGTATCGCCTGCACTCAATGATCTCCACCGTGAGATCATTTCGAACCGCTGTGGTAATGCCTTGGCATCGACCACACTTGCAATGGTATAGCGAGTAACCAGTGATATGAAACGGCTTCCCGTGAAGCATCATTTCTTGGAACAGTCCTACCTCCACTCCGTGTTCGTGGAGTAGTTTGGTTACTTCGCGTGACTTTTGCCTGATACCCCACACATTCAACTGGAGAACGACCAGGGAATGTTTAAGGTGTCCCGTGCCACCTTTTCGATCTCGAACAGTCGCTTGTTGGCCTCGCACGCGCCTGTCGAGCGTCACACGTGCGAGAGGGGACGCCTTCCCCATGGGGACATCCGACCAACTTCATTTTAAAATATATTGACCTCACCCTTACCACCAAATAATAAACTGCTAATATAAATTCAATTGTTCCTACTTTTTTTGTGTGGTCTTACCGCCCCCTACCCCACCCCCACCCCCTCCAAGCCCAACCCCCCGCGGGCTAAGAACCCCTGATCTCAATCGGGAATGACCGTTTGCTTCAACGATTGACTAACAAAAGAGTGACGTTAGCTGCTCAGTTTTATTTTTTTATCTGCAATCATTATTGAGGAAAAGTATCACCAACAGTACTCATCAACACCAGGCACGGAAACATTGCAAATCCCATCTACATGCATAGGAGCCAAAATGATCAATAAATTGATTGTGGGCCCTTAAGATATAGAAGAAGAAGTATTATGTTCCGATTTGTTTCAAGTACAGATAACCAGTGGTGGAATTCAGATAATTTAACAACCGATTCGCTCCCCTAGTAACCGATATAAGATTATAATATTTTTAAAAAAAATGGATTTACCGAAAGGTAATTTATTGTTTCCTGTAAATGCTGAAATTAATAACTAGAAAAGTTAGAAAAGTGTTACACGAGTCTAGTTTATTTATTTATAAAAATAAAAATAAAAATGGGTTTTAAAATTGTAGTGATAAATTTTAAATAAAACTTGAAAATGAATAATTAAGATCCCCGAAGTCAAGTACGCAATATCTCGCCCTAAACTTAAACCAACCGGCTGAAACACGTTAACCGTCGATCTATCGTTTCTGCAACCCTTCTGCAACCCCCCCCCCCCCCCAGTCGAACCTGCGTTAATGATAGATCTGACATGTCATGAGTAATAGTGGTTTGAGCAAAATATCTTCCTCCCAGTGAAAGAGGGCTTTGCGTTGCCCCCGCCCCCCCTAGCTCAGTGGGTCTTCCGGTCAGGACGTGCGAGCAGTGTGATCTTTGGCTTCCGGAAGCATGTCCGTACTGGTCTCCCACGTCACGAAGAGGCAGATCACGTGTACACCACCTCGAGCAAAGTGATGTCAGTTTCCCCCAGTCTAGCGCAAGCCATCCAAAGGGAAACTTGGGAGATTTTCTGGTGCTAAAAGATTTCCTTTATCAACAGGGACAACCGCCTTTCAAAATTCACGAGCAACAACGATGGCCGGCCACGGACCAACAACAAGTCACAAGACAACAGTAGGAGTTAATGGTAGAACGGTAGAAGTAGATGGTGCAGCGATGGAAGCAGATGTGACAACGTTAGAAGTAGATGGTACAACAATGGAAGCAGATGTGACAACATTAGAAGTAGATGGTACAACAATGGAAGCAGATGTGACAACATTAGAAGTAGATGGGACAACAATGGAAGCAGATGTGACAACATTAGAAGTAGATGGTACAACAAAAGAAGTAGATTCTGATGGTACAACAATAGAATTAGATGTTAAAAATATAAGTAGCTTATACAACTAAAGAATTAGATGGTACAACAATAGAAGTAGATGGCACTGTTGATTTAGTTGGATACATTCCACCTTTCTCATTCTCTGCATAAGATCAACTCGATCAGGGTGAATATTTCTCTCTCTCCACGCCCCACCCCCTCCCCCCCTTTTTGAAGTTACGACCTAAAAATATAAAAATTCGCCCGTTCCCCAGTCCGTCGGAATTTACGGTCCTGCTGCTTCCCCCCCACCCCCCGCTTCCTGGGTTTACAAAATTTAAGTGATCACTAATTAAGTCAGTATTTTCACTAAGCAGCGAACATTTTATTGTTATATGAAGACTTAGTTGTAAGCTAGAGAAATATTTACGATGCGCTGCGTTTAAATTGTGATAATTTTAAAATATTTTATTTTTTAGATAAAATTATTGATTCGTCGATATTGAATATGTACACGGTAAATTCTAAAAAAGTGAAAAATATAATAAAATTTAAGAAATTAAATAAAAAAATTAAATAAAATAAAGAAGAACCAAAAAATAACATTCATTTATGTTTTATCTTATCTCCATTTGCAATTTCGGAGTATTTGAAATATATACGAAAGCTGATTTTGTAATGATAAAATTGTAAAAGAAAATATCTTAAAAAATGTTTATTTTAAATGTCCAGAGAACGTTAAACGGTTTTTTGAACATTCAAAGTTTGGCTTGTGTTTCTTAGTGCAGCAGAGATTAACGCGCGGCGTCATTGTGATACTCTCGAAACGTTAAGATGCTGTCGTATCCTGTTTAGGTTGTGTGTACAATTATCTCCCACAGGCAGTGTCAGTGAGCAGGGCGTGCCACTTGAAGTCGTGATCCCTGCTGGCGTCGCTGGACTCCTGGTCATCGCTCTGTGTGTTGCCTGCGCGTGTTCGGCGTGAGTACACCAAGAACACACTACTAATGACGTCATAGAAACCACTTAGCCTCAAACCCTTGCAAAGTTTTAAAAAAAGACACACAACAGGGTCTAATTCTAAAATACTGTTTTGAGCGATCATGGTTCTGTGATTCTCTTAGAAGACTTGTTTTATTCTGATTGTCCCTATATTATTATAGTGGAACACCTTCTGCATATGCCTTTAATTTGTGCATGCTTACTTTTCCTGCATGCTTTGCTAAACATTTTTCGGAACCTTATTTAGCTAACTCTCTTGACGGTTTATAATGACTCGCTTATTGGCAATTTATTCCCACACGGAAAATGGTATCAATAATATAATGGTGTGATCTGCTGTGGGCGATAAAATGTGAATTGTTTTCGATATTAATAAACATGAAATAATTTTTGTAGACCTAATTCGGGACTCAGTGGTAATGAACACAGTGATCTCATTTCTGTACCCCGTTTTCAACCCATCATTTGTTTCCTTTGTTTGAAAGGAACTCTCCCCTGCGTCGCTGGAAGAGGAGCAAACGGCGTGAACTTCAGCAGGAGATTCGATACCCTGTGCACGACGAATACGACTACACGACAACGAATGAAATATTGGTGAGGTCATAAAGTATTTCATGCCTACGCAGGGCCGTCACGGGACTTTTGGAGGGGCCCCATGCCATTTTTATTTTGTTCGTTTTGTTTTTGGCACCATGTATTAAATTGTCCCACAGCAGCAGCAAGGGGTTACAGGGCCAACGCGGCAGCCCTGTTTTCAGGACTGTACACTATTGTATGGGCAAACAAACTTAAAATAACTATACTTTTCCGAGTATATAAATGGACATTTTCTTCAGTAAAAAACGAACATCTCCTTACATAATATAAATGGACATAAACTTCAGTAAAATAAATGGACCCTTTCTGAAGTAAAATAAACGGACATTTTCTTCAGTAAAATAAATGGACATTTTCTTTGGTAAAAAGAAATGGACATTTTCTTCAGTAAACTAATATATATTTTGTACACTATTGTATGGGCAAACACACTTAAAATAACTATCCTTTTCGGAGTATTGAAATGGACATTTTCTTCAGTAAAAAACGAACATCTCCTTAAATAATATAAATGGACATTTTCTTTAGTAAAATAAATGGACATTTTCTTTAGTAAAAAATGGACATTTTCTTTAGTAAAAAATGGACATTTTCTTTAGTAAAAAATTGACATTTTCTTCAGTAAACTAATGGATATTTTCTTTAGTAAAAATTGACATTTTCTTCAGTAAAATAAATGGACATCTCCTTCAGTAAAATAAATGGACCCTTTCTTCAGTAAAATAAATGGACCTTTCTTCATTAAAATCAATTGACATTTTCTTCAGCAAATAAATGGGTATTCTCTTTAGTAAAATAAATGGAACCCTTCTTCTGGAAACGAATTGAATAAATATGCATTGTTAAAATATAGAATTCTATAAAAAAGAAACATTCTTCATGATTGTCCATAATTCTTTCTTTGCCCATGTTTATCAGGACTGCAGACCAGGTTCTCATTTAACAGCACAGACCAAGAAGTGTCCCGGGAAAGACCAACGGGATGGCGACGACGACTACATGGAGGTCAACTCCTACGAGGAGACGTCCCTCGTGACAACGCCCACATCGACGACAGCCTTGCACCCGAGGTCTGGGTCACACCGCGGAGCACGGCTGCCACCCGTGGCGCCCGACACACCGACACCAACAACAACAAAGTGGGCGCTAGCCAGGTCCTCGGGGGGTCTTAAAAGCCCGTGCGGCCCAGGCGAGGCCGTAGAGAGTACGTATGCTGTGGCTGACAACGATGGGGAGCCGAGCTCGGAGCCAGCAGTACTTTACAGGTAATTCTAACTATGAAGAACTAAAAAAAAAAAAACAACAACAAAAAAAACCACCAAACTCAAATAATAATAATTTTACTTTGTCGGTGAACGTGTAAATTAAAAAAAACAACAAACAAGTTAATCTTTAACAGAAGCGACACAAATATTTTAAGAACTTTTTTTTCTTGGGGGTGGGGGTTTGGGGTCTTTATATTTTGAAAATTAATTTCAAAATGGAATTTTGTTTTCCCCGCAATTAATACTTTTTATCGAAACAAATATGATATGATCTAAATGATATAATATATATATTTAGAATGACCGCGACACCAAACTACTCCCCCCCTCTCTCTCTCTCTCCCTCCCCCCCTCTCTCTCTTTCTCTCTCTCTCTCTCTCACTCACTCCTTTCTCCTTGTCCAAATGTTCTTATCAATAAAGTACTTACATTTTAATATATTTTCAATATAGTAGCTTTAATGAAACCCTTGATGGAAGTAATAAACGATTCTCAAACCTCTTTTGCAGTGCGGCCCCCCATCTTCATTTTAAAATATATTGACCTCACCCTTACCACCAAAGAATAAACTGCTAATATAAATTCAATTGTTCCTAATTTTTTTGTGTGGTCTTACCGCACCCTACCCCACCCCCACCCCCTCCAAGCCCAACCCCCCGCGGGCTAAGAACCCCTGATCTCAATCGGGAATGACCGTTTGCTTCAACGATTGACTAACAAAAGAGTGACGTTAGCTGCTCAGTTTTATTTTTTTATCTGCAATCATTATTGAGGAAAAGTATCACCAACAG